CGGTAGATCAAACTTCTTTGCCAATTCACAAATTTTCATTTTTGTATCGAAGTCTTTAATAATGGGTATGTTCGTAGTCAAACGAGTTAAACGTGTTAGTAACGAATTGTTCGAAAAGTCTAACGAAATAGGAATAATGATGACGTCATTCTCATTTAACTCGCTCGACTTTACGAACATACCCAATGTTAACTTTACATTCCAAAGATAAAGTTTTTCTTTTCTTGTTTGATGCAGAAGAATTAGTTCTACTTCGTTTGGATGACATAGTAGAGTCTCTCAAGTCTCCATAGATATAACAAACACAGAAATAAATAACACAAAATAAATTGTAGCTATGTGTTGATTCCGCGCAACACATCCGAACATGTAAGCTGAACAATAGTGTGGGGAGTGAGTAATCAAGGGTTGCATGGCGCTCAAACAAAAGACGAATCGACGAGATTTGAAAATCACGTAACTACGGGTTCACGTAAGTCGGGGTATTACTGTATATGTTTTAATGTACAGTACATTCCAGCAGATCATTGAAGAACAACTTGTATTGAAATACTGTTTAAATTATTTAGTGATCTGAATCTGTTCATTTAAAATAAAATTAAGTAATTAACACTACAAAATAAAAGATCAAAAATCCAGCAGAAAATACAAAAATCTACAAAAGTAAATGTTTTCACCCATGTTAAATACTCATCATCAAACTAAAAGATTTCTTAATTTTTGAAATTTTTAGTCAAAAGCTAAAAATTCTGTAGATTTTTGAATTTCCTGCTGGACTTTTATTTTTGTAGTGCTTAATTACATATACCCAGTTTGCATCCTTGAATAAAATCAATTAAATTAACANAAACCTTTATTTTGTTAATTCTATACTATACTTATATAATTATTAATTATATAAATTATATAAATATGCATTAATTATCTGTTGGTATGTAAAGTGAAAATTTTTAATGATTTAGGGAAATTATTGACCTCTAAGGTTTAAATATTTTAAAGCATTTCAATTTTAGTTTACTGGAGTATTACGAGGGCTGTTTGGAAAGTTCATGGCCTCAAATAGAACAACAAACAAAATAATGTTAAAACTTTTTTATTTTTCAATGTAGTCTGCTTTGTTAGCAATGCACTTATTCCAGCAATGTTCTAGCTTTTTTATGCCATCACAATAGGTCTATTTGTCAAGGTGTGCAAAATACTCATTCACTTCAGAGATGACTTCGTCACTTGAGTGGAATCTCTTTCCAGCCAAGAATTTTTTTAGGTTTGGAAAAAGGTGGAAGTCACTGGGNTTTTACTTAAACAAAAGCTTAAGTGAACCAATCTCTAGCCAAGTACAGTGGAGACTGAACTTCGTAATATTAGATGTAATAAAGACAGAAATTTTTCCAGTTCAATGAGAGTGACTGAAAAGTTTTAAATTTTTGAAATTTCCATGGAACACCTGGTCCTAAAACGAATTAGTTAGAAAACAAATGATGGACAATCTATTAAGTTTAACATACAGTGTTTAGATTTTTACAGCTATGATGAGAAACATTTAAAATTTACAACAACCCTGTCACATCCTTTGAGATATACTAGTGATGTGACAAAAGAGGCATTTGACATTGACCAGTATTGGCACCCTCAGGACTTGGCAGCCTACGTGCATGCACACAACTGCACACCTACCAGGACCGTCTTTGATTCCAACCATTCACTACTCATAGGGAGCTATTTGACTAAGTGGATTGCTTTAAGATTTAAAAAGTAAAGAATATTTTGTTATTTTTATGTAATGTTTCTTTACAAAGCTATATTTAATTATAATTTTCTTTAAAAGTATATTCGTAAAATTGAAGAATATTTTGTACCAGGTATGTACTGGTACATCCACCACATATTTTATTTCACCGAGTAAGTTTTTATTAATTTATTTTTAATTGTAGCCCTAATATCATGGCTAGCGATTCAGAATATAATTGTGATATTTTAAATACATTTAGAGAAGGCTACAGTTTTACTGGCTTATCAAACAAATGAATATATGAATGGACCCTAAACCATCATTGACATGTAATTAATCAATTGCCTCTGGAATTCGGCTTCTTACAGAAATACAGCTTCCATATCATCAAATGTCATGGCATGCCATTGAATTACACTAATCGCATTTACTTACTTCAGACACATTATTACTATCAGGATAATTTTTTTACAAAATAAACTTCCTTAGTCCTGAATATAATTTCAATTGACAGGTTTCCTCCATACAGTTCTTTTGCAAACCCTATTTCACTTAGATGATAATATTATTTGATTTTTTATCTCTTTCCAACCCTAACAATCCACTCTATAATCTACTGGTATGATGCAGATTTTCATTTCCCATAATATGAATACTCACATTCACCATTAGATTTACACACTCTTTCCATTTCATTTTCAAATAATCTTTCAGAGTTTTGTTTAAGTGAGTATCCAGAGGCTGCAAAATTGGGAAAATAAGGAAAGCATATAACAGGAAATTATAGCATTATAGCATTGTAACAGAAAATAAAGTATATTAGTTGCTAGTTTCACCACAGATTCTTAATTTTATTACTGAT